GAATGAAAAAACAAACCAACAAAAATTAAAATAAAACAGATACAACAAAAGCATTTAACGAGTGACTACAACAAGAACAAGGCAATTAACTGATTACTTACAGCACTCAGAACGGATAGCAGTGTTTGTAGGACCAACAGTATCACCTTTGTATCAAAAAACTTAACATTAACACCAGAATATTTATACCATCTTTACAATTTTAAAAACAATTATTACGCAGGAGCTTTGGAGTTCATGCAGCTTTGGTTATTTTTGAGGCCATGGGTGGTGCTGTTGAACTGTATAGTATTAATCTCCATCAGGGTAAACAAAATATTAGAAAAGTCTTTCATTACATTTTTACTTTCCATGTGTGCATGCTCAAGGTAAACAACTGTTGATGTTTTCCAAGTCATTAAACCTGATCTTTTCTTAGCTGTATCAGTAAGCGAGCACCTGCACGGAAACAGTAAATGACCCCTTTTGGAGGTGAAGTTCAGGAGGGACATGTAGACAGGTTTCATGGCAGAGTTTCATCAGGACAACAGCTGGCCACTGTAGGAATTCTGCACCTTGTTGCACCAACCAGCTTCTTCGCCTGGATTAGGGCTTTGCTGTCCATCTGTCGGGCATCGGCTTACATTTAAGCCCTGCCATTTTACAGGCCCGGCTCCAGCCAGCTATCCCACCAGGCAGCTTAGCTTCTCAATGACACAAGGCTAACCTTTCTCTTGAAATTCAGCTAGGCGACATTATAGCAGTGTGAAAGTGATCTTACTTGGGGAGCTAAAGGTCAGACACTCCTGGTTAAGATGGATTTAGCCAAAATGTGGCTGTCAATAAACATGTTCTGTGTTATAACTCCAAGCTTCTACTTACTGCAAAGAATTGAACCAATAAGAATTTTAAGAAGCAGTTTAACTTTGAATCTTAAGCAGCTGGCTATAGAGTTGTTGTCAGGATACGCAGTTAAACAAGGTAATTTTAAAAGGATGAACACTGATAGTAATATGGTGTTGGTTAAAAATTAATACCAAAAAGGCTATACTGCCCCATATGAATTTGTTACGTCTACTTACGTAGGAGCTAGGGATAGTGTCATCTGTTTACTGCTAAATGTTTTGGATGGACTATATAAGTCATGCAAATATACAGTAAATAAACCTCTGCAGCTGGGTCTGTCCATTCAGGATTAGCCTTGCAGCTGACTAAGCAGTTTGTAGAAGAATGGGCTTTAAAGGCTTTTAACACTTTGTGTTGCAGATAACGTCAGCATCATCTCAGGGATTTCCCAGAAGCTTACAGGTATTTAACTATGGTATTTAATAAGGCTCAGGAGTGATGTCTTGTGACAGGTAAACCAAAGCTTTGGGTGATGGTTTAGTCTTAACAATACCCATCCCCACTTGTGCTTATTCTGGAGAACTTAATGATGACAGACAGCCTCATTCAGATGCATGCAACAAGATTTAGTGGAGTGATAGCATGTTGCATCTCAAAGCTGTTAATAGAAAGTAAGTAAAACAACTTACAACAAGTGGGTGCATAAAACACATGGAGACACAGTTATAAATACAGTGATTCAAAAAGATGTTCATCCTTCTAAAAGAAAAACTACCCAAGACTCTTAACTATATGTAAATGGTGGCTTGTATCTTTTCATTAGGGTTATATTCCTTGTAGCACTGTTAGCTTGTGTATACAAAACCAAAAATGAACTGCAGAAAATAAAAGCTCTTTCCTGATAAACAACAATTCCAATTTGATTTTTTATTGGGTCCCAGACTCAAAACTGTTGTGTTGAGAAAACCTAGATAAAAAAGTTTGAATGAAACCTTCATGATTGAAACTGATTAAAACTTTCCAATAAACTTGACTTGGTAGATAATTGGTCACTGGGTGACCAATTAACCACCACAGATACATATTGCGTTATTTTGTGCAAAGGGACACTAAAAATCGTACTTATTGTCAGTTTAATTATGATTGTACGTCCACTGATTAGATGGCTACTCTTATACCACTCTGTAGTAATAGGAGCATAGGGCACCATCCACTTCCTAATATGGGACAACATCTTCAGGATCCCAGTGGATTCAGTCATAAAGGCATTAATCTCACCATTCATTGATCTAGTCATTACTGGTCTTGGACCAGTGGGTCCTCATTTATTGAGCACCGTTGTCTCACTTCTCCTCGACCACATCCATTCCTTTGAGGAGCACGCCCCTTTTCACTTCACCTCAATTAATGTAATTCTCTGGGAGCTCACTGGAGTGCTGATTGGAATGAAGAACTGCATTCAGACTACATGCCTGTGAGGGAATGATAACGCCAGATCATTAACAAAACAGAGCTGCAAATGTTTAACCGTGGATGGCATTCTTCATCTTAATGTGCCCCTGTCTTTACTTGTTTTCCTGCATTGGCTGCTGAAGCAATGTGCATTAAATGTCGAAGCTGCCCTGTCATGAAAAAAACACGGGTACACATTTTGACGGAATGACTGTAAAAACATTGTCTGTTTTTAATGTAATCAACTGCAGTGTTATTATATGGGGATTTTGACCCTGTGTAGAGGAGTGTGAGGACTCATTAAGAGGTCTGACTGGGGTCCATAACCTGCTGAAGTTGCAGTCATGGAGCTTTATCAACAAGGGATTATGATTTGATCATTTTCCTGATTGGGTTTCAGTGTCAGTGGTAATAGAGTTGGACATAATAGCATCTCACTGACTGATATCCAATATGTGATAGCCACATGATAGAGGGTGACAGATGGAATTGAGCTTGTGATAAGGCCACTCCTTCTTGTTAGGTGTCTTAGCATGCCATACAAAGCCCCACTCCACTTCATCTCACAGCGCTCAGCACTGACTTGATCAATGTGTGTTAAGGAATAAGAATGATTAAGTATGGCTGCAGGCAGCTAGCAGCACAGCAGGCTCTGGTGCAGGTCTCTGATCTCGGATGTACCATCATCTCTGCCTGTTTTGAAATCACTTGGCTTTACTTGATTACAGATGGTATCATCAAATCCCCAATCTGAACTTTGACCTCTGAGGGAATAAAATTAAATACAGTGTAAGTAAATCTAACCCATAAACCCCATTTTTTGATGAGTCTGATGTCCAGTTGTATATTGGTTCAGTGAGAAAAAGTTAACAGTGGTGACCACAATGGTAGTAACATGTCACCCCATAATTAACGGTCAACCATAATATCAGAGATTTTCCCCCTTTTCTCTACAGTCTCAATCTGTCACATGTAATATGGTCCTTGAAATGTGCTGAAGCACAAAAGTGTGTGTTATCCTTCTTCGCAAACCTTCTGTGAATCAGGAGAAAACTCCATTTGACCAGTTAGATATTGACTTTAAAGACAAATTTTGAGCAAGAGATGAAAGTACATAACACTGGCAAAATTCTATGTATTCTGACAACAGTCATCACACACAGACAGGAGTCCCCCCGAGACATGTCTTGATGAGTGCGAATTAAAAGTGAAAGATTTTGTCTCTATGTTTGTTTTTTCTTGCACATTTCATCATGTCAGTGAATTACAATACAACTACATGTGCTTGAATATGAAATAACGTTACTTAAACTAAATGATTTATTCAAACCTATATTATTACTCTTTAAGTCCATCTCCATTTTACTACTGGACCCCTAATACATCTGTCAGAATCATTGTCTCCAAAACAAAGCATACATTATGCCCCTATATTCAGTTCTCTCCATCATGTAAATAGTGTCATCATGGTTCTTTGTATATAGCTGGGAATGATCAATTGTGAATTGCAATGTTAGTGGAAGGGCTGGAGGTATGTAAAGACAATGACATTGAAATTAAATACAAGTTGTTTTTTTGCTCTTAAACCCTGTTTTTATCTTATCCAATTACCTAGTGGTGTATGGTTTATATTTTATTGTAAAAGATTGCATGAGCCAAGTGTCAGCCCCAGCACATACATCACACTTGCCACCATCAGTCTTAGATTGCGCCCTCCTGCAACTGCTGCTCCACCTCCCCTACTGTTTTTTTTTAAACTCACACAGCAAATTCAGGCTGGAAGCTGGAAGAAAAGAGTAGGGATAAAACAAGACTTGGTACCAGAACAAACCACAGATGTGTTCAGCGTATGCATCTGTGACACAGCATGAATTCGATTACCATCTGTTAATTCCACTTGAAGCTGTGCCCCTTCACTTTATATCAGGGTGATAGCATTGACTGATTGATTGTCTGCAAGGTGTGCAGTTGAAATGGTGTTCAGCTTTCCACATCAGAAACAATGAGGGTGCAAGATTTATGTAGATTGCTATTATTATTTGTCCTTTGATTTTCTAGCTAAAATCAGTACTTCCTCTTTTTTATCACAAATAAGTCTGATAGAATGATTTGCATTCAAAACAGCTACATGTACTTGCATTTAAAATACTTATTAAAGCTCTTTGCAGAAAACTGAAAGATACAGAATTCAAAACTGTCAGCACTCTCAGTTATGCAAGCACATACCTTATTCCTTGTAACCTCCCACCTCTATTCATCTTTAGTCTGTGTCATGAATATTGCAGCAGGATTCATACTCTCTGTTCTCTGAGGAATTGTGTCACATGAGAATGGCATCCTTTTAGCACTTATGATTGTAGAACTAACCAGCTGGCAGAAAATAGACACAGTGGCCAAAGGAAAGTGTTTTAATACAAGTTCATACTGCTGTCTGTTCATACTGCTGTCCTCCACTTCCACCACATATGATGTGAAAATGCTGAATGTAGCAGAGAACTGAATATTTAAGCCCATAGCTCAGTAATATCAAACCATGGCATGCACTCTCATTTGAATTTTCTCCTATTGTCCGTGTTTGAGCAGATGTATTTTATTGTCTTACAATCTGCATTGAATTTCCTTCTCGCAATTTTGCATAACATTGGATAGTCGAAATCATCAGCATGACAGCTGGGCGAATCTCATGTTGTAACTAAATGTTTTGCCTTGTCTCTGTGTCTCCCCAGGTAACCGATAAGATGGCGGCCGGGGAAGCGACTGGGCACAGCTACCTGGTGGCTTGCTGGCAGCCCATTCTGATCCTGATGCTGGGCACCGTGCTGTCTGGCTCCACCACAGGCTGTCCTTCCCGATGTGAGTGCAATGTTCAAGAGCGCTCTGTGATGTGCCACCGCAAGAAGCTCATGACAGTTCCTGAGGGCATTCCTGCAGAAACAAGACTGCTGGACCTCAGCAAGAACCGCATTAGAACCATCAACCCAGACGAGTTTGCCAACTTTCCCAACCTCGAACACCTGGAGCTCAGTGAAAACACGATCTCCACTATTGAACCTGGAGCTTTCAACAACCTTTACGGCTTGCGGACATTGGGGCTTCGTAGCAACAAGCTTAAGCTGATTCAGCTTGGTGTCTTCACAGGCCTGAGCAATCTCACGCAGCTGGACATAAGTGAGAACAAGATCGTCATCCTGTTGGACTACATGTTCCAGGATTTGTACAACCTCCGGTCTTTAGAGGTGGGTGATAACGATCTGGTTTTCATCTCTCATCGGGCTTTTCATGGCCTAAGTAGCCTTGAGCACCTGAGTCTTGAGAAGTGCAACTTGTCCTCTGTGCCAACAGAGGCTTTTACCCACCTCCACAGTTTGATCACGCTCAGGCTGCGCCACCTCAATATCAATGTTATACGGGATTACTCCTTTAAACGGCTCTATCGGTTGAAAGTGTTGGAAATAGCCAATTGGCCATATTTGGATACGATGACCCCAAATTGCTTGTATGGATTAAATCTCACCTCCCTGACTATTGCAAATGCCAACCTGACCACAATTCCTTATGTAGCCCTGCGGCACTTGGTTTATTTGCGCTTTCTTAATCTTTCATATAACCCTATCCATACCATTGAGGGGAATAAGCTCCATGATCTTCTGCGTTTGCAGGAATTTCACCTGGTAGGTGGCAGACTGGCAATGATTGAGCCCTATTCTTTCCGTGGTCTAAACTACCTGAAGATTCTAAATGTGTCTGCAAACTCTCTTAGCACGTTAGAGGAGTCTGCTTTTCATTCAGTTGGCAACCTGGAAACCCTTGCCTTGTATGATAATCCCCTGGCCTGCGATTGCCGACTGTTATGGGTTTTCCGAAGGCGCTGGAGACTAAACTTCAACAGGCAGCAGCCTACCTGTGCCTCCCCTGAGTTTGTCCAAGGCAAAGAATTCAAAGACTTCCCGGATGTTCTGCAGCCTAACTACTTCACCTGTCGCAAGTCTAGGATTAGGGATCGCAAACCCCAGCAGAAATTTGTTGACGAGGGAGCCATTGTTCATTTTGCTTGCCAAGCAGATGGAGATCCTGCTCCAGTGATAATGTGGCTATCCCCACAGAAGAAGTTTATCACCACCAAGACAATTGGAAGGCTCTCTGTGTTGCCAGATGGTACCCTTGAGGTGCGCTACGCCCAGGTTCAAGACAATGGTACATATGTGTGTATAGCTAGCAACGCAGGTGGAAATGACACCTCTCTTGCTCACCTGCACATTCATAGCTACTCTCCTGACTGGCCACACCAGCCCAACAAGACTTTTGCCTTCATCTCCAACCAACCCACAGAAACTGGTGCTAACGGTACAAGAGCCAATGTCCCTTTCCCCTTTGATATAAAGACGTTGATCATTGCAACCACAATGGGATTCATCTCTTTTCTTGGTGTCGTCTTGTTTTGCCTGGTGCTGCTCTTTCTTTGGAGCAGAGGTAAAGGCAACACTAAGCACAACATTGAGATTGAGTATGTGCCACGGAAATCGGACGCTGGCATGAGCAGCAGCACAGTGGATGCTCCTCGCAAGTTTAACATGAAAATGATTTAACGGAGCTCTGGAATTTATTAATTTTGAACTCAAAAATAAGACATGGAAAAGAAGACATTTTCTTTCCTCCCTTACAAACCTGTGGATCCTGGTCTGTTAACATAGAGTAATATGTTTTTTCCTGACTGAAGTTCTTAAGAGGAGGGCAGTGACTTTCACAAGTGAGAGGGATTGAAAGAACACCCAGTGCTACAGTGCACTGGCGGTTTCTACAAGGCCTGTGGGTGCATTAATTGAAAGTCAGATTTGTAAGCAGTTCATATTCCTGTGGATTTATACTGGGAAAAATATATCAGAAAAGAAAAACACTTCAAACAGCCAGAATGCGAGGGGCAGAACATATTTTGGCCATTGCTGTTTTTTGTCTTTATTTTTTATTGAGTGTTTGTTTTTTGTTTCCAACGTCACATGTCAAATTATGAATGAGATTTGTATGGGTTGATGAGCACATTTATACAACGTTCCTACATTTCAAGTACATTATCATTATGATACATCAGTGTTACATTTATTAATGCTATGTGCTACTTATAATCTTTTCTTTTCTTTTCTGCAGTGATGATAGTTCTGTAATCCATCAAATGTAAATTTATGTCACAATACCTGATTAAAATGTGTGGAGTGAAGAGTATGCCTCGGTAATGAGCAGAAATATAAACATAGTATGACAGAATTATACTATGGGAAATACAAAACTGTTACTGATGTACTATATAAAACTTTCACAGCAGCTAATTCATAGCCATCCTCTGGGCCAAGAAAGTACAATGAATGGTATTGTAAACGGTTTATATTGGTTATTATGTGACCTAAAAACTGAATGATATACAAAAATAAGTGCTCTGAAATCAATAGATTCTCGATATAGAGATTGCATCAGTGCAACTTTTAGTATTGACACCAATTCTCAGTACTGCACTGTAAAAATCAGCGATATGTAAGAATAATTGTATTCTTAGAAAGATAAAATTAAAAATATTAGCAGTAGCAGAAAATTCTGTTGTGAAATGTTAATATAGGATTTTAGCACTGGGTAAATTATCTGATAGAGCCTGTTGAGCCCAGTATCTGATATCAGTTTCAGTGTCACTCATCCCTACTTGTTTTAGATGTAACTCAGACGTGCTCACAAATGGATTGAGATGCTATTGATATGATGCACTATACCAACAATTGATGCAACATGCTACCACTTTCAGTCCCTCCAGGAAGCTGTGACGTTGTGATCACAAATTCTTTGCAACCTTGCAATTTTGTCCAATCATTTTATTCTCCAAAACTGTTGTGTCCGAACAGTTTGATTTTATTCTCACTAGAACAAGATGGCTTTGATTTTTAATGAATTATACAATATTAATATCAATTGCAACTATTTTTGCAATCTTACCGTTCTCCTGCAATTTAATTGCAAAACAATGCCTAAAAACATCAAATTTATTTAGAAAAGCTGCCATGAAAACGGGCATTTTAGGCCACAACAATCCCCCCAAAAGCCTGTGAATCCTGGAGAGACTGCATTTTGCGATCAAAGAGAATGGTTGGTATTGGTCCCTTGATATTATGAGCGCTTATCCCTGACTTTTTAAATTGCATTTCAAAAACTATTATGTAATGGTATTATTTTGTGCTCAACATGATTTTGAGGAATACAAGTTGTGGTGCTCATGTTTTTGGATACAATGTGCTCTTCAAGCTGTAGAATATTTCTTTCATTGTTGGTTATTTTTCTTGATTGTTTTATGAAATCAATGATTTATTTATGCAGATGCTCCCCCCCATTAAAGCCATGGAAATATAACCTTCCAGGATCATTTACAGGTTTGCTATTCCCCAGAAATGTGCAGTGTTTGTCAGGGGAAAAAGAACTGTGCATATTATGCTCCCAGTTGGTCCTGCATATAAAATCTGAGGTTACAGCCTTACCTGCTCAAGTACACACTGTGGACAGCTGGGCTTTGCAAATGTGTGTGAGGATAAAGGCTAAGTTATTTATGATGGATGACATTACAGACAACGCCACAGTAATGGGCTGGAAGTATGGACAGAATATGCAGATGGGTAGAGTGACACAGATGGTTTCACCCATGGAGCAATCTGAAGCAGCTTTGGTGTAATCCGTTTTGCATAAAGGAAAAAAAAAAAACACTGGATATGGCTCATGGTTCTCCCTCTTGCTGATTATGAATGCTCTCTACGTTCAAAGTGTGGCTACTGTACCTAGCCTTTTTTGGTCCCGAGTGATCCCGGGATTCTGTTTTTTGTTTCTGTTATTCCTTTTTTTATTTTGACCCTGGACTATATTGACCATGTAGTCCAAGCCAACTTTTTACAAAAAAAAAATGGTACTAAAAAAGAAATCTATGGAAAATACATTGAAATTGTTCTGTGCAATAAAGGTAATATGCAGATTTTTTTTTTTTTAATTAACAAAATTTTGTTGATGTTGAATTGTTGAGAATATGGTATGTTGTATTAAACAATCTATGGACTTTTTTAAACACATATTGGTCCTATCTTGATTTTAAAGGTTTGGTTAGTATGGACTTGATGCGTGACAGATGTGTGTCTGTGGGGTTTGGACAAACATTGGTTAATACCAATGACAGTGATGACATTAATAATTTCACCTACAGGCCACTGTGAGCTGGCAGAGTCCTGTTGATGTTATTATAATTTCTTTACCATAAATGCAAATATGCTAACATGCAAATTTATGAAAGAGAGTGAGAGCTTCAACGCTTTGCTACCAAGTAAAGGCTAAAGTCTGTCTGAACATCTGGGTGTATTTCTTGTCTATCAGTGACCAAATTAGCAATTTAATGTTTGATTTCTTTGATTGCATACTTCATTAAATGATGATGCAGACTGCAAGATAATTTAACATGTGTTTCAGCACTAATTACTTGTTTACAGGGGCATTGGTAGTTCACTTGTTCACTTTCCTTGCCTCTAAACATTAATTAACCACCATTAGTAAAGGATCACAGACATTAAGGAATGTATAGGGAATATTGTTAATTTACACTGCACATTTGTAATCTTAAAGAGACAATATTCGTAAAGTAATTAGTGAACTTCAAAATAAAACAAAAAATAGTATCTGTTTAACATTGAATAACAGTTTTATTCTAGGATGTCTCTTAGCGAAACAGCAAATTAGGTTACCCTTTGAAGGTTACAGGAAATGACCAGGGATATGACTAGGACAGCCTAGTTTCATGAAACACGGTGCTGCTCTGCATTAAGTTTGGATCTCTGTCCCATTCCTTTTTATTCCACATCGTTGCTTCCTTGGTAAGGACTCCATGGGGACTTTTGACGTTCCTTTTTTCCTCAAGCTGTATCAAAGCATGCTCATTTATCTTCTGACTTGAAAACAGACAGGCAGAATAGAAAAGGAGAGAAGCTATTCTTGAGGCATCAGAGCCCTGGGGAGTAATGGAGACATCCATTGTTTTCATTCCTCCAATATTACATCTGTGCTTAAAATTCTAGGTCAGGAACAGGCTGATGGATTTTGACACCGCGCGACAAGTCACCTCTCCTCAACTGAGCATGAAAATACAGACACACCTCTGGGTGTTCCTTGCACTCATCCAAATCCATGTGCTTAATGACATCTGGGAAACACTACATGTAAGCAAACAAAAGTGTGAATTTGCTGTTGGCAGCGCCTCTGTCACACAATAAAAGCTTTAGATGCTTAAAATAAAAATCAAGTCATCTGAGATTTATGTTTAGATGTGGAATCTAAACTCAAGGCTGGGAGGCTGTTTCTCATATCCATATCAAAGGGTTCAATTTAAGCACTTGTTTAGTCTGTTTCCATATTATACCTTTTGCATGTTAATTCACCTATTTTAGTCACTGTCAGTCAAACCCTACACAAATCAGCATTCCTGGTGTAATTGAAAAGGCTTACATCTCAATCACTTTAATTAGGAAATTTCATCAAACAGTCAAACATATATATCACTTTTTTTAAGTAGATGTACAATATATAAACCATTTTGTCAACTATGACTCACTACATGATTAATCCATAAACAGTTTATAAAAAGTAAATATATTCTCGACAGTGCACCTGACCTCACTGCACATTACATGGTCCAACACTTTGACACACACACGCACACACACACAGCAGCCCACTACATGTGAGAAGGGTCCAGCTGCGGCGACGCGAACACACACCACAGCAGGGCCCGCACATCGTCGAACAGGGTCCAGCGGCGGGTTGGGGGCGTTCCGTCCATGACACGGGCAGGAACGCCTATTGGGCCGTTCGCCTCGCGTAGCGTCTTCATCGCCAATCGCCAATTCACTCTTTTCAGTCCATTGGTTACCATGCGATACCCTGGCGAGGCAAGGAAACGCTGCCGACTTCATCTGGTCTGATTCTATAGTACATTTCGGAGTGAGAGTAGGATTTAATAGACGGCTAATTGAAGTCAGAAACAATCTAGTGATCCATTGATTTTAATTTATATTTTAGTTTGACAAATTCCATACCAGGAGTTATTGAATTGAATCTACCGCCGTCGTTTTAGTATGTCAAATCACATGAGGACATTTATTGCCTTCGGTTTTTGGCGGTTTTCAGTCGTGTATGACGTTGATGACCGCTCAAAAGAATAAAACAGCATTATGCGTTGAGTAGGGTGTGGGCCATGGTTGCACAAACGGCTGGCAGGATAATTACTAACACCAGAACAGTTGTGAATGTGTAACAATGCAAGTTGGCTTGTTCAGTTCTTTAACTTTACTTGGGTGAAGGTGCAGCGCAAGCGCTGTTTCTCCGCTTTCGCGTGAATGAATGCCAGGGGAAAACACACGACGTCGCTGGCAAGATCGTTGAATTAGTTTTACTGGTTTCGTTGGCTGGAGAACGATGTTCTTGCCGCCAGCCAGCTAGTTGTGCACGTTTTCAGTGGTGAAAGTCATGCATTGTCCTAAACCAGTACTCGTAGAGAAACTATAGACTGAGTCCTGACACATAAATTGTAAGGCATGATTAAGGGATGCTAATTGGACTAACGTTCTGGTAGATGCTTAGCTTTGGGCTAACGTTTATTTCATAATAACATTTTACAGCTACTAGAGTCTTATTTCCTGAAACTGTCTGTTGAGAACACGCGGCCCGGGCGATAGACTAGCGAAATCGTTACTATTAAACGAGATGGTTGACACGTTACAGCCGATTCAGCAAAGAATAGGCCGAGAGACGCCCGGGGCGGTTTCCAGTCAGCGAAAACGGGAACCCCACCAGCACCGAGAACGACCAATTTGCTGGCTGGCAGTTGGAGATATTGCCGCTACATGTAGCCATTTGATATCAGGAGTAGATCGCAACGCCCCAAACTGCACTGCGATATTGCCAGCAAAGTGTTCAATAGCCGTGAAGATGATGCCGAACGGAGGATCCGGATCACTCAAAGGACGAATCACGCCAAATTGCTGCCCCCTGTGTGTTGGGTTGTTTATTATCATGAAAGTAAAGGTTTTTTTTATCTTGAGTTTATGCTTTTCGACACTTTTGCTGCGCCATGGATGCACCAGATACCCTATGTAGTTTCCTACACTAGTTAAACGGTTATCGTTTTTCCCAAAGTCGTCAAAATTCCAAAGTAAAGCAACGCAGTCAATACCAGAAAGAATAATACTCATTAACTGAAAATGCATAATTTGTTTATTCAAAATAATTGGTTAGTTTTAGTAATGATTACCGGATTTTCCTCGCTTTATAATGGGAGAGCTCAGCTCCACCACTGCCTCTTTTACACAACTCGAAACCTCCTGTAAACACAGTTTTTCTGGGAGGGTTGGAGAGGCTTTGACTACCCGCTAGCTCTTCTACTCTCTCTCTAGCTCCCCTTTCACGAGGATCCCGCGGGCTCTTTGTCTGATATATCCGGCTCGAAAATGAAAATAAAGACGCTCCATTAAACTGAACTAAGGCTTCTTGCTCGATTTCTTCAAATTCGGTTGAAATAAATCCGCCCATCTCCCTTCAGGTGTGTATCCGCTGTGGAGCACTTAGTAGGTAGTCTCAGTCTTCTCCTCCGGGCAACAACGGGGCTGCAGTTACGTAAGATGGTGCCATTGCAAGTTCACATCTCAGAGAGTTTGGACTGGTCACGGACTGTTTTCCAAGATTGGCCACCCGCCTGTTAACGTGATGTTGACTGTTGTTCTTAAGTCTTAACTGTCTTTTTAATAGCACTGGTCATGTAACGGTACAAAGTCCTCGAGCCCTGTCGGATTTACAAGTGAGGCGACCCAGTGCTAATTTATGCTTACTGTGTAAGCTGCTGGGTGCCCCTCTTGTTGCAGCCTTGTTAGGTGGTATGACCGAATAGCTTCTCTTTTGCACTTTCGACTAGTAGTCGGGGTGGTGCACTAGCCGTTATACGGGGTAATTTAGCGGTTTGTGCGGTAAAACTCGGTCAACGTTTTATGTCAGAATGAAGAAAACCTCATTCCGCGAACTTGGGCACCAACTCGCGTAAATAAGTGTATATTAACCACCAGGGTTCATT